GCGGCACAGAACCATCGGCCACTAGCGGGGGTCCGTGCCCTCTTGGGGGGGGGGTCCACCACAACCACCACCCCCTCCTCCTCCTCCACGTCCTCCACGTCCTCAACCTCGTCATCCTCCGCCGCGACAAGCGCGAACCCATCCCCCGTCATCGTCACACGGGACCCCACACACACACCCCCACACACGCGCACACACACACACCTGGTCGTATCTCCACATCTATGGGCGAAATGGGGGAGGAAGGGGAAAGTGGGAAAAGGGCGGGAAAGGGGCGGAAACCTGCGCGCGCCACGGACCAGGCCCAGACATGGTTGAGGTTGAGGTTGAGGTTGTCTAAGGCTATCTCTATCTCTGTATATATTAATACACCGGGTTGCTTCCAGCTGCTCTGTCCCCAAACCCTCGTCAGGATACTTTGCCTTTCTTGAGGCGAATGTGAGCTCTCCCAGCACCCAGTTCGGGTGACAGCCACGATCCGCGAATCTGCAACCCTGCAACCCTTGGATAACTATCTGCTCGTCGTCGTCCTCGTCCTCCTCGTCCTCCTTTCGTTGTTGTTGTTGTTGTTGTTGTTGTTGTTGTTGTTGTTGTTGTTGTTGTTGTTGTTGTTGTGCTGTCTGTACCTTGCCTCCAGTCACTGGCTTGTTACCGGGCATTTTCATCGTCATCATGGGCCTCCAAACTGCGGTGGTGGTTGTGATCGCAGTCGGCTTTCTCCTGATTCGATACCTGAACAGAACCGATATTCCCAAGATCGCCAAGCTGACCGAGATACCGGGCATTCCGATATTTGGGAGTCTCCTCCAGCTCGGCGAGGAGCACGCCAGGGTAGCCGCGGGATGGGTGAAGAAGTATGGCCCGGTTTTCCAGGTTCGATTGGGGAACAAGGTGCGTCAGGATAAATAAACACCAGCCAGTTTTTGATCTGCTCATTGCAGTAGTCGCTCTGGTCTTCTTCTTCTTTTTTTTTTTTTTTTTTTTTTTTTTTTTTTTAAATTCATAATTAACTAGTTATATGGATGCTGATTTGTTGTAAACTGTGTTTGCGCCTGTGCCTGTAGAGAATCGTCTTTGCGAATACCTTCGACTCGGTCAAATATTTCTGGATCACGCACCAATCTGCGCTGATCTCTCGCCCGACCCTACACACCTTTCACACTGTGGTCTCCAGCTCCCAGGGCTTTACCATCGGCACATCGCCCTGGGATGAGTCGTGCAAGCGGAGGCGCAAGGCTGCTGCGACCGCTCTCAACCGTCCCGCGGTTCAATCCTACATGCCGATCATCGATCTCGAGTCCAACGTTAGCATCAGGGAGCTGTTCCACCACAGCAAGGGCGGCACCGTGGATATCGACCCCAATGCCTACTTCCAGCGGTTTGCGCTGAATACCAGCCTGACTCTGAATTACGGCATTCGCATTGACGGAAGCATCGACAACGAGCTGCTGAAGGAGATCTGTCACGTCGAGCGCATCGTGAGCAATTTCAGGAGCACGAGCAACAACTGGCAGGACTACGTGCCGCTGCTGCGATTGTGGCCGAGTCGGAACTCGGAGGCCAAGGAATTCCGCATCCGGAGGGATAAGTACCTCACTCTCCTGCTCGACATGTTGAGAGAGCGGATCAAGAATGGAACAGACAAACCTTGCATCACGGGAAACATTCTGAAGGACCCGGACGCGAAATTAAATGAAGGTGAGTTGGGCACTGACTGGAACCGGAGTGGTTTCACTTAAAACATATCCAAATATATATCTGACATGCACACACCCTGCAGCCGAGATCAAATCGATCTGCCTTACCATGGTTTCCGCTGGCCTCGACACCGTGCCCGGGAACATAATCATGGGCATCGCCTACCTCGCCTCGGACCACGGCCAACAGATCCAAGCCCGTGCCTACGATGAAATCATGAAGGTGTATCCAAACGGAGATGCCTGGGAAAAATGCCTCGTTGAGGAGAAAGTCCCCTACATCACCGCTCTGGTCAAGGAAAGTCCTCCGATTCTTCACTGTCATCCCGATATGTCTACCCCGCGTCAGCATTAAGATATCCCCTACGAGGGCGCAGTCATTCCGGCCGGCACTACATTCTTCAT